TGTCGGGATAATGTTCGGTATCTCCGAGTTTCTATCTCAAGGACTCTGGGCTGTGAGCTTTTGGATTGGCTCGATCTTTGTCCGCGACGGATTTTGCGATTTTCTCGAGCTTATGACAGCGATCACGGGACTTCTCTTCGCCGGGATGATGCTTGGAAATTCCAGTGGTCAAGCCAGTGATGTAACTGTAGTCGATGGAGATGCAGATGGATACAGTCGTCGGGCTAGCTTGTAAAAATGTTGTCGTTCCCCTTAGAGCAAACGTCAAATGATTCGATGCGAGGCCATTCGTTAGCGGAAATAGGCCCGCTGTCCCGAGAAGCGAGAACTTTGTAGGGCGCGCGAGTCTAGAGCTTGCGAAAATGAATTCTGTAGTGCCTGCTAAATCAACAACCACATCCAAAAAACTTTTTAACGCGATGCGGCAGGAGCTCCGTCGGGATGAAGACGTTTTTGTGGGAATGAGATCATTGAGCTTCTCAAGCTCGCGACGTAGGAGGCACTTGACAAAGTCGATCTGAGCGTGGATAATATTGGCGCGCTCCGTTGAATTGCTTTTGCTCAAGATAAGAACTCGTGGTCATCGTCGGTGGGTCTTCCCTTGTGTTCCGGATCCTTCTTGATTTTTATTGAGGAGCTTGACGCGCTGCTTGGCCACGTAGTCGAGGAGGGAGAGATCTTGGGGACTGAATGCCTGACAGTGACATGACCGACCAGAGAGTCGAGAAGGGATCGTGGGGGCTGCTCGCGAGACGATGGCGTCACTGTAGATGCCACGAGTGATACACAGAACACATATTTCGTCTTTTGAGCTCTTAGCCGAAACAGATCATGCTATATATCAATGCACCCTCATACACGCACCGCTGTACCGAACTACCTCCATATTGGTATCCTATTTTATACGGCAAAGTATCCGGCATCAAGTCTCTGCAAAATTCCAAGCTTCCATTTTCCAGCCCGCACTCCATAACCTGCAGCCACGTTCCCCCTTTCCGCACCCTCCTGTGATTCACCGTGCCGCAGCCCGCCTCCAAGGCCACGGCCTTCGTCGTCGCATCTTCGTCACCCGGCGGTGGCGCCACGTGCCACTGCAGGGTGGCCAATTCTCGTCGCAGACTTTTCGCATCCCTTCCCATCGTTTGCAGCCACACCCATTTCACGCATCATTCCCCATCCAAAACGAGGAAAGCTGCGCTCTCATTCTCTTTTTGACATGGTCACGCACGTTGTTGACCGCCCTGTCTGACCCGCTCCCCAATGAGAAACCCAGTCTAATTTGTGATCTGGCAATCCTGTGGTAAAAGTGAGTGCATGAATGAAGAAGTGGCTGGCCTCTGACGCAAAAATTCGTAGTTGGATGATAACAATGATGACGTCATTATATCTGACACATAACGATTCCCTTTCAATCCATTTGTTTCAGCACTGGCCCGAACTGTTCTCTGGTTACATATCCTCGCTGATTATGTGCGCTCCTGTGCTTTCTACTCTTTCTTTCTGGATTACTGCAATACGTCTAAATCGGTACAGGATGAGTGTAGGAGGAGAAAGCAGAACGGGCTGGGGGGGAGGGGCTGGTGGGCAAGACGGTATGTACTCCTCCGTGATTTCGTTTGTGCGAAAGTCATGCAAGCTGTGAGAATGGCCTGTTCGGTTTAGACGGACAGTTTGGCGCGCGATTGGTACGTTCTGGAGCTCCAAAGTTGTAATGGCGTTCGTGTTTTGTGGGAAAACGGGCGGGAAAAAACCGCAAAGCCCTGTATTTAACAGTGGGTGCGATGCGCTTAGTCTTTGGTCTTGTTCTCAACTCAAGGGAAATCGCTCGAGCAAGGGCACAGACAGACCATGGTAGAGTCAGTGTCCAGAGGCGAAAAGCGCGCTCGTAGGTCATCCGCAAATCACCTCATCAAATTGCGTCGGGAGAAACGTGCTCGAAGGGACAAGAACCGGAACGCGGTCTCTACGTCTGCTCATGGATTGGCTTTACGAACACGTCGGAGTGCAGACAGCACTTCGAAAAAATATGCTAAGGACGTGGACGGGCATGAGCACCGGGACGAGCGCGGAGTAGGTGGCGGGGGCGGGGACGAAGATGAAAACAGGGAGAGGGACGAGGACAGAGACCGGGAAAGTGACGGCAGTGGGGATGGAGCCGGAGACTCAGACCGTGACGAGGACAGGGGCGCGGAAAGTGACGGCGGTGGGGACGGGGCAGGGGACTCAGACCGGGACGAGGACCCAGACTGGGACGGAGAACCAGACCGGCACGAGAACGAAAATGATTTGCTGGGATCAGGTGTCTTCTATTCGGAACGGGATAGTGAAGTCGAGGTTGTATTGGATAAGGAAGAAGGGTTTCGAGGCAGCCCAAGGGATGAGCCCAGTCTTGTGACTGACGCACCTGAACCGGACATCGTAGATTACATTATGAATCTGAATGGTCAAGGTGTGAGCATGGATGACGAAAACGGCAACAGTACTGGGCTCGGCACCGTTTCAGAGCGAGGAGATATTGAAACACTTGCCGATCATACCCACCTCTCTTTTGAAATCGGAGAGGTGGAAGTGGAGGAGGTTTCTCGCCGTCTGAAAAAAATCGTGGAAGACCGCGTGCAATCCTCGCGAAAGTGCCCGAAGTCCCGTGCAAAAAAATCAGCTTTACGAACGTAACAGCTAGAGCCGAGTGATCGAAGCGAGAGTGCGATTCGAAAGAGCTAGTTGCATGACATGAACAAGCTCCGACGCCTAAAGCCAGATTTCTTTTCATCTCGGCAAGCCACATTGCGAGACGACTCGAAAACAACAAAAGGGATTGCACTGTACGAGGGGATTCCGCTCAACCAATTCAATAATTCTGATCTGCAGAGCGTGTTTCTCATGGAATATGAACGCAAAGCGAAATGTGGCGGCAGTTACAGTAGCTTTTTGCAGTTAACTACAGTCGCTGGGCAGTTTATGAGGCTTCGGGTTGTTCGAAAACTTTCATTTCTCAATGCGTTGCACAAGAATGGCGAAGTGTTCCGTGCTGTTTGTGACCGAGAGACAATTGATCTTTTTTTAGATCACTATGACGCCAGAAGTCAATGCACGACTGTCATGACAAAGGCTCTGCATCTGAAAAAAATCGCAGAGCATGCAATCCTCTATTTTTCAGACCGTGACCAACACTTGCAGGCAGAAGCGGAGCGATCTTGGCTGAAGCTGCAAAAATATTTCAATGTACAAAAAGCACTTGGCCGTCGCCTTGCTACTCAGAAAAAGCAGATGTCTGAACGCATTGCCGACGGAAGAGTTTTCTTTCCTGCAGATTTCAAGCGAGGACGAAAAAAGGCGAGAGAACAGCTGCAGGGAATTCTGAACACGTACGTGCATGTAAAGAATGACAGGGGTGCTCAGGTCGCGCGAGAAAAGGTTTCGCAGGCTGCCGTCATACACAAATGGTTCATCAATATGCTTTTGCTCCTTGTTTTTTCTGCCGGAGGGCAACGTCCACAAGCGTACTCACAAATGCAGACGCCGACAGAAACAGAGCTGTTGGACATGAGCGAAAGTGTGAGGCTGCACGATTTTTTCCAGCTTCGTACTGCAATGGAAAAAACTCAACGATCCTTAGACATGCCAAACGTGATTGTCCCCGGGTTCGTCCTGAAATATGTGCGGTTTCATACGAAGATAATGAGAAAAGTCGTAGTAGAAAAGACGTTCGTCGATGAGCAGGCAGACGATGACAGGCCTTTGATTATGCACACAGAGACGGGGGAGGCACTGACCACGCCGCAGGTGACTAACACACTTAAGGGTTATCTGAGGTGTGCCATGCCGGAAGCTCAGAACATCACCATGATGAGTCTCCGCAGTAGCTACTGCACAATGGTGATGCAGGACTATCGCCAAAAAAAGATTTTCCCAACCTTGAGTGAACAGGAATTCTTGGAGGTTCTGTCCAAAAATCTGAATACATCTCCAGAGCAGCTGCGATCAACGTATATTGGAATCGATGATGCAGAGTTCGAAGACACTGCTAAGGAACTGGTAAAGGTCGTGGGCGATGCAGAGTCTTCGGAAGATTAGGAGTTAGGGGATGGAAAATGTCGAAACGTAGCAACAAGGGGGGATAGGATGGACGTCGGTGGAGCCTCAAGCCTCGGATCTCGTGATAAAATTTTAGTTCATTTCGCCAGCATAATTTTTGTTGTCGTTGATCTCGTCGTCGGCAGCATCGCCATTGCGTTTCAGCTGTTTGGTCATGTGTGGATGAAAGCCCAGCCGCACTTCATGTCTCCCTCGCTCGTCGCGGTGCCAGTTCGCGGCTGACAGCTGCAGGGCCAGCGGGAGATTACCATGGTGGAGTACTGTACGGAGGGGGGAGGGGGGCGCAGTAGAAATAAAAAATGCGTGGGCATTAGCAACGCTGGCCTTTGACGTGTTGTTTGTCAAATGCACGTTCTCCGTGCTCTGTGCCTTTTTATTTGGCAGAATTACTGGAAACGACAGGTTGTCATCATTTGCACGGCTTGCATCGCAAGACTATGTACTAGTGGGAAGTAGTTCGGATATGAATGCGCTTTCTCTACCGCAGACTGCGCCCCTTTCAACCTCCCTGTGCGTTAAAAAAGCCCCCTGGTGGTCCTTCACGAGGATCCATCCTTTCCTCGTCGCACTCCATCTCCTTCATGAGCGCTGAGCGATATGTGCCTCTAAGAAGTGCCCACATCACCGCGTCAACTTGTTTTTTATTTATAACCAGAGCTGACGGCCAATCTAGAAGACTACATCTCTATTTTCTCGTTTTCGAAGCAACGAGCGAGGATAACTTCTCGAAAATGTACGAAAGAGAGAGGGCGCACGTAGAGGAGGAAGAGAAGGGGAGGTAGTAGCGAAGGGGGGCTGTGTGGGGGTTGCAGAAGAGATAGAAGGGGACATGACAGTGGTGGACCTGGAACAGGGCGTGTGGCGGAGAAATGGAAAACGTATGGAGGGTGACTCGCATATGACGGATGCGCCACCTCCCCTACCTTCTGCGTCTTGTACAAAACGCGTTGGACAGGGCAGCAGCAGGACGCGCGACGGTGGCCATTGCCCATCGGCTACCTACAGTGAAGGACGCCGATGTGATGGCGGTGGTGTCAAAGGGTCGGATTGTGGAAAGCGGAAAACATCATCAGCTGCTCTGCAATCCGAATGGAGAGTATGCCAATCTGGTTAAGAACCAGTTGACGGCAGCGATGGACGAAGAATGAAGACCAAAACGCATCAGTTTGTTCCCCTCGAGGCGGCATGTGTAGGTAGTCATCTGGTTTTCCGAACTTACTGTAAGTAGAATAGGACGCAATGCTAACCGCAAGATGTGTAATGTATAAGTAAAGATTTGCTGGAGTGATCTGAGTGCTAATTTTTTTTGTAGCGGGAAAGTTGCGGCTTAAGATGCTGTGGAGGACTCTCAGCGACAGCCATCCTCAATGAAAAATTCGCCCCCCGAGGTCATGGGCAAATCATTCGTGTGATGTCTTAATCTTTGAAAAGAGCAAGGCCTTCCCGTTTCGTCATTCTTCCTTGTGCTGCTCTGAACGTTAACATTTGTTTTGCAGGAAAGGCCTCGTATCCTTTGTGAGGGTCTGATTGGGCACGCAAGAAGTTGCACGCTGTTTTAGGGCTTTGTTTTTTCGGCCGGTGATGGTGCTCCGGCGAAGAGCTGTTATGGCTGAAACGGCAGGGAGAGGGATCAGAGTCAATTGAGATCAGGGGGGGAGCTGGGGGGGCGCAGCAGCCGCGAGGAAGGGCGCGGCTCTACAGCGCTGGGAGGGGCCGGCTGTGGACGCGGAGTTGTGCGGTGTGACGCGTGCGTGTCGACGGCGCGAGCGCGTGCCATAGACTCACGGTGCAGCGGGCGTCATGGGGTGGGGCGCGACTCTACAGCGCTGGGAGGGGCCGGCTGTGGACGCGGAGTCGTGAGGTGTGTAATGCTTGGATTGCCTTGCCCTCTCTCTACAAGTTGTGGTATCATTCTTGTTCTGTCTCAACAGAGCTATTTGCTGATTGTTTCAACGAAAGCGTTGTACTACGGTCCTACTGTAGTTTGGATCCCAAGGACGAAATATTGGGCTCTGTCGGAACATGGGAAAAGAACGAAACTCATATTGAAGGGGGCGCCGCCAACCCCCCTTTTGAATTTAACCTCATTGAGACAGTTATTGACAAGTTTGAAGAAGGAACCGATCACTCTCATGCCCATTTTCGAAAAAGTCAGCTGACTGCAAGAAAACTCGTGCGTTTCGAACTGATAAACGACCCAGTTGCAGGAACTTCAAGACTTTGAAAAGCGTTTGTAGTACTTCCTCGTCCATTCTGTCCCGCCTCCGTACAAGGTAAAAACTAGGATCTCACGCCCAACCGGTTCATGCTTGGGATCGACAACGACTATTTGCGACACCCGAATTTCAGATCCATCAAGTCTAGCGTTCACGAGCAGTGGACGACGCGAAAAGATGACCGAAACAAATTCTGAGAGTGAAATATCCACATCGGTAGCAGAAATGACAGGGGCAGTAGGGTACTCAGCTCACGGTGCTCCGGACACATCCCTTAGCTTTATACCAGTAATGGGATTATATCGAACAATTCGACTGATGCTCAGGTCCTGCGATATGGCAGACACCATGGTAGTGTGCACAGCGTATCAGACACACGGGTGTTTAAACGCACCTATGCGAAGCCCAGAAATCCGATTGGCGAGAGCAAAGCGACGGAGCTCGAAACTTTCAAGGAAAAATACGACTGTGACACAACAAGAAAAGGCTGAGAGTTATTTGAGGGACCCTGTGATGAGGTCTGACGATCATTGAAGGCACGACAAGGCAGCCAAGTAGGGTTGCGCCAGGACTCATACGCCGCGAAGTATTTCCTTGAGGAGTCCTTGTTCAAATGGATCCCACCCTCCGTACCCGTCATGATCAGAGGACTGCAGCGAGAATATGACGTGCGCCGAAACGCGACGGGATGCTCTACGAAAGCGGTTCGAATGATTGAATGTGCTCTTGCGTAGTGAGAACAACACCGGGACGCTTACGCTGCGCTACTACAATTGTATGAGTGAAAACGAATGCATGATCAGATCCCCTTGAAGTCGAACGATTGAGCATCTTCGACTCAGAAATCAGGACGATGCCAGCGTGTCGGCTGCGATCACAACATCGTTGGACACACCCTAGCATGAAGATATTTTGAAGAAGACGTACAGTACACACGCATTGGTTGTTATGTTTTCATATTATAATTTAGCTCAAAACATGATCACTGTGTAGAGAGGATTATTACGTCAGGCTCAGCACACTGCGGAGCATGACGTCATGGTCACGTTTTGTAACGCAAATTGAGGCACAGTACAGTGTAGCAACCCTCGTGTGTCACGACAAATTTACACTAAAAACATTGATTCGTTTCGTATCAGCTAAGGCCACCACAAACAAAGTGCCAATGGCGGTACGGCTGCAAGATGATCATGCTCCTGGGGCTCTTTTTCTTCATATTGTATTTTTAACTCAAATCCTCAACACTGTAGAAACTGGCGAAGTAGAAACTCGAATATTACGGAATACTCTGCCGATCATTGCGTCATGGTTTGTGAAGAAAGTATTTGAAATAAAAACATTAATAATAGCAATAATATGTAATTATAATGTATCGATAATGTCTACATGAAAAAATGTCTCAAATAGTATAAGAACAATGACTCCAGGGACTCCAGTACTCCATGAATTTCCAGTCACACCAAATTCACATACAGGAAAGCATTCCGCTCTGCCAAGCATACATAAATGCAGCTCCACATAGAAAGCTGAACAAATGTCGGTCCACCGCATCTTAATGAGAATAACATTTATCTAAATTACAAATGGTGCCCTTGAGCTACGAAATGTCATGATATCATGAGAGGTGCGCAACTTTAAATTATATTTTAAAGCCTGCAATGTTTAGTTCTACGAAGTACGCGACGTACATGTACGAGTGCCTGAAGAAGACAGCCAGCACCATACCTCCATCACGACATTCTCATCAATACTTGGACTGGCAGTGGTTATAGATAGGAATCTTGTAAACATTAAATATGCAAGACATCTTCGCCCCGAGAAATGGAACTTTGAAGGGACATTTCCTCGCACTGCTGTCGTCTTCTGAGGCCGCTCTCTGTCATCGCTGCTCTTCCATTTCGATATGTCTCTGGTTCGGATTTTTGGACATCGCTTCGTTTGCATCCGTCTCTTAAAAGTTCCATCCTGAACAAGTCATAGCAATTCTCTATCACTTTGAGAATGCTAGTACGGAACATGACTAGCTTCTTTCTTAGAGTATCCAAGTTGCAATTTTGCTCGCATAACGTACACTACGTGTCATGCCCTCTCATTTTCCAATACTAATAACGTTTAAGAAAACACGTGAAATGAGCACCTTCTCTCTATCCCCTGTATGACTGAGTGTCGGATTACAACGTTAACAAATGATTTGTGGCTACCAAAAACCCATTTACCCGCATTGATTGGTATGCAAAGTTCTGGAACTAACAAGTACCCAACTCATTTCCTACTTCTTCCATCGAATTCGGCAGGAAATCTCTTGTCCACAAATTCGAGGTATCTGTGAGAAGCGAAGGCAAAATGACAGTGTACGTTAAACGACTACAGCACACAGCACCACACAACTTCATCCCCTATGTTTAGTTCTGGCGTCAGTTCCCGCGGGACGATACGTTTTTGGCACATGTCAGGATCGATACGTAATGACAAAAAACGTATCGTCCAGGCCTGATTCGACGTATGTGCGATTTTGGTACTGTCTACGGTATATGGCCCAAAACGTATCGTGCCGGGCGGTTTTAACGGCGACAGTTTTCTGGTGGGACGATACGTTTTAGGCCGATTTACACGGCGGCACCCCCATACGCGCTGTATTGGCAACATTGCTGTTGGGAATTTCTGACTAAAATTTTGCCGACGGCGGCGCACAGCCAATAAAATGTCAGTGCGCAAAATTTAGTTTTTGCCGTGTGCGATTAGAGGCGCATGAGCAATATTATTAACTTCATATTTTATAACGTACCGTGTCCCTCGTCTGGCAAGATTGTCAGATGCCCAAAACGTATCGTGCTGGGTGGGGCAATTACAGCAGGCAGATTTAGTGGCAGGGACTTATACTGCACTGACGGCGTCGCAGTGCGCATGTACGAGTTACACAATAAGGCGGCGTAATTTATGTCCTGAACATCAAAGCTTTCTAAGTTATTTACTGCGCGAAATTGAAAAGCGCCGTATGCCGGTTTCGATGATCGTTGCCTCAACGACGCATTTTGGACGGGTGTGTCAGAGATTCGTTGGGGAGGGATGCGCGCACGATGCGTTCTGGAGAGGTGCGTCTAGGATGCGAGCTGAGGGGGTGCGAGAATGATGCGTTGGAAGGGGTGCCAGAATGCTACGTTAGAGAGGGGTGCGCTCGTGATGTGTTCTATAGGGGTGCGCTCATCATTCGTTTTAGAGGGATGCCAGAATGATACGTTCGAGAGGGGTGCGCCCACGACGCGTTCTAAGGGGGTGCGAGATTGATGCGTTCGGGAGGGGTGCGCCCATGATGCGGTCTAGAGGGGCGCGAGAACAATGCATTTTGGAAGGGTGCAAGAATGATACGTTCGGGACGGGTGCGCCCACGA